TTTCCAGCGTTTGTCCAAAAATGCCACTATAGATATGACCTTTTGCGGCGTTTGTTCCAAAAACGCTACAATAGATCTAACCTTTTGTGGCGTTTGTATAAAAAAACGGTGCTATAAATATGACTTTTTACGGCGCTTGTTCCAAAAACGCCGCTATAGATCTTGATTTATTGTGGCGTTTTTTGTTCTCAAACGACGCTAAATTTAGCGGCGTTGGTATGGCCGGCGCTTCTTGCGGGGTTTTTCCTATCGCCACAAGTGTTTTTAGTGGCGCTTAAAAACGCCGCTATAGGACTAAAAAACGTTGCTAAAACTCTATTCTGTTGTAGTGATGGTTTGTAAAATCATATGATTGAGTTTTGTAATGTTTTAAACGTGTATATGTAAATGGTAATTTTATACGGATGAAAACTTAGATTTTTATGAATTTATACGTATTTGCCGAAGTTACTATAGCAGTGCATCGATACATAATTTATATTCAAAATTTTTCACTGTTCACTGTACTGTTCATACCGTATAGTACTATTCATAAAGACATATTTTTTCCAAATTTTTATAATGAAGCATAATTTAATATTATTTATTGTATTTTCTTAATATAAGTTCAAATGTTTTGATATTTTGTAAGAATATTGTTTTAAAAAGTTAATGTGACATCTCGGACTCGTATCTGGGTCGGGTACGAGTTGAGGGTGTTACAAGTGTTAAGTTTTTTTTAACTTTAATTATTTTTTTACAGAAATTCGTTGGTTTTATTCAAAATAGAAAATATCTAGAATTACAATGAAATTTTTTAACTCTTAGTCTTCTCAATCAATCTAAAAAAACACTACGCTCTTCTTTATTTTTAATTTATTATTCAAAATCAAGTTCTATATCATAATATTCATACCCACATCCAATTTTTATTCCCTTAATTATAACACCCTAATCCGATCCAACCCGGAAACTCAGTGGATTAGAATGTCACACGGAACCACCAAAGTGGCCAACTATTTTTTTTTGAAAACTTTTTAAACACATCCATAAATCACATTAAGATAAAATAAACAAGAATACCTAGTATAGTAGGTTTACAAAATATGGGGGAGCTCCCAACAATAGCCTCCAAAATAATAGTATTCAAATAGAGTAATGATTCGACACTACATAAAGGTCTAAGATAGTACACACCACTATAATAATCGAGACGTACTCTGGAAGATGATCAAGTCTGGAATCTTGTATCTGGCGACGAGCTCCTAGAACCAGTACCTACGAACCTGCGCATGAAAACGCATTCCATACGCTGAGCTCACAAGTTCAGTGCCACTAGGGCTGTAAATGAGACGTGACAGATCACGAGCTACTCGAGATCGACTCGGTCAAGGCTCGATAAATACTTGGATCGAATGGATTTGATTCGAGCTTGAGCTCGACTCGAATTATTAACGAGCCAAAACGAGCTACTTGATTCTCGACTCGAAAAGCTTGTGAGCAACTCGAAAATATAATATATTAAGATTTTATTTTTTTTAAAAATAAATTATTAATAATATTAACATTTATGTGTCGATTTGTTTTAAAAAAAATACAGTAAGACTTTCATGTATTTAAGGTTCAGGTTCGAGTTTGAAGCTTCAATTTAGTTAAGTTTAAGATTTTGTTTATTTCGAGCCTTTTCGAGTTGCTCACGAGCTTTAATTCAGGATTTTGAGTTCGAGTCGAGCTTAAAAATTTTAAGCTTACAAGTTTTCGAGTCGAGTCGAGTTGCATTTCAGAGTTTTCGAGTCGAGTCGAGCCAGCGATACTCGAGCTCAGCGATACTCGAGCTCAACGATACTCGAGCTCGACTCGGCTTGTTTACACCCCTAAGTGCCACACAAATAACCCAACTATACTATATGCATTCAACATATGAGCATGCCACGTGCATAGTTATGAATCATGCATACATTTATTACACAACGAAAGTAAGCATCATGGTGTAGCTCGGGGTAACCATAGCATCACAGAACTCGCACCCTTATTTGCCTACTAAGGGTACTTTGAGTAAGATATGGATCACTTAGCATCAGTAAATCATCCAACTAGCATTTAAAGTGCATAAGTACTAGTTTGGATATATTCGGATAATCCTCATTCTATCACGCAAACGTCATACAAAGTGACTCGGGTATCCTTATCGTTTCCTAAACATCAATCAAAGGCATAAGTTCTATGGAATCTTACCTCATCAAGATCTTATGTTATCACACAAATATTAATGTTCACTTGTATTCTTATTGGAGAGTTTCTCTCTCAACAAAAACCTTGCATTCTTCCTTCTACTACAAGTTAGGCTTACCGCCTAAATATTCACGATGGTACCGATGCTCCTTCTTGGGTATCGGTACTCCACTTCCTAGGGTATCGATACTTCCCCGAGTATAGGTACAAAAATTACATTCAATGTTTTGAAAAATGCTCCAATATAGATAACCCTAGAGAGAGTATTGATACTCTACCCTCAGTATCGGTACTTACATTATCGATACTCATGTAAGTACCGATACTAAAATTACTTTCAATGTTTTGAAAAATACCCCGATATTGATACCCCTATTGGGAGTATCGATACTCTACCCTTGGTATTGATACTCCTATGAGTACCAATACCAAAATTGGCTACTGGAATCTGATCAAGTCCCCAAGTATTGATACTAGGCTTTTGAGTATTGATACCATATGAGCAGTATCGATAATCTCCTCACAAACCCTTTGAATTTTTCCCATTCACGACTAGCAATATCGATATTGTTAATATAATATTGATACCCTCAACCCAAAAAACTTTATTTCTCTCGTCTAAAACCTCCAAAAACACTCTTAAGGTGTCCCCAAGACCCAAAAACGGTGTTTAAAACTTATTTGAAGTTTAAAGATCATGAAAGGTTATTACTTTATGCATGGATAACAACAAATTCTTGTTTTCATGCTTTTAACCCCAAATGCACCCAAATGACTCATACACTCATACAAGCATCAAAACTACACATGTTGATCTACAAGTAGTAAAGAGAGGTTAGAAGTGTGTTACCTTACATCTAGAAGATGAGGAATCAACTCAAGGATCACCCAAACACCACTTTATCTTTTTCCTTGCTTTTGGAGCCTTCACCCACTTCTCTCACTAAAACAATCAATGGAATGAGTTATTAACTCATCTAAAGAAATTAGGGAGGTAGAAACGAGATTATAAATATCAAAATGAGTTAGGATTAGTTTAGGGTTTTAAAACCCAAACCCCCTTACTAACCTCCTCCATAGCTACCACAACCATTTGTTGAGTTGGAGAGCTTGAAATGAAGCTCTAAAAAAGTTTCAACTTACCTTCTTTGCTTCACCAAGGAATTCCTTCCCTACAAGGCTTCCTACCAAGCTATTGGGTTTATCTAAGGTCCTCTCGGGTTAGCTCGAAACTACTAACCCGGGAATCGGGGCATTACATTAATTGTATTTAACGTATGTTCTTAACAAAATAGTGAAAATAAGGTTTGACTAAATTTAATCATTTTTCTACGATTTACTTATATAATATTAAATTAATTATTCAAAGTAATAAAATATAGTTTCGCTCTATAAGGCCTATTTTTTAGTTTTTTTCCAGGGCTCTAAAAATATTCAAAACGACTCAACATGAAAGGATCACAAATATAATTTTAAAGTATACACAATTAATAAAATAAATAAATAACTAAAAATCTTGCTAAGACGGACGCAAGATTTTATTTTAAAGGCATGAATTTCTAAAATTTTAGAAATAAAGGAACTTATAAAATTTTAAGAAATGAAAAAACATGTTTTCAATAAAAAATTATATAAAAATTTTAAAATATAAAGTAATTTAAAATTTTAGAAAATGATTACACCCACTCAGTCCATCCCTTGAGATGAGATGTGAATCCACAAATTTGGAGTTTCAAACAGGGTTTTGATTTTTGGTTCTCCATATTATAAAATTTATTGTTATTATTTATTTTTCTTTTCGTATTCGAAGAAGATAACAGGTGAATAAATAATGTTTAGAATTCTTTAAATTCACAAACAATAAAGTTAACCCTAAAATTCTTCTAAAGTTTTTAGAATTGACATTAAACTTTGAAAAATCACATATACACGCTTAAACTTTCTGAAATTTCTAATTTAACCCCTTGATTCCAAATTTACCAATTCAATTCTAATTTTACAGAATTAAGAAAAATTAAAGATGCAATTAAACTTGATGATAATCTTCGAATCGCAGATCCTTAGTGTATATGCTGTAGTTCCTTACTTGCTTTTTCTACAACAATAGCTACCTGCTCAACAACCTTCCAACCAGATTTTTATTTATTTATTATATTCTATCATATTAACATCCATTATGTCTATAATCATCACATGACGAAAATATTATCTTTAGAGGTCTTGAGATTGAACATGTTATTTTTAAGAGTGTTTGAACATTTATTGTCAAATAATTGAGAATATTTTGATTAGATACCACCTTAGTTTAAAAAAAATATGATATCGAGACTTGAGAATGACGATAGACTTCATACCATGGAAAATGGCCATAAAAATTCTCTAATCAAATTAACTCTGTAAATGTTCTCCCAGCTTTTGAAATTTCTAAACAGACCTACACAGATTACGTAAAAATCACAAGGAAACAATATTCCAAAGCAAAGTCTCAACTTTACACATGCAGGTGCAGCTGCTTTACAATTCATTTCCTTCTTTTGAATCTTTAATAAAAGGCAATAAAGCAATCTGAAAGAAACCTGGATATAAAACAATGTATCAGAAGCCAATGGAAGAGAATGGCGTTCTCCATAAAGCAAACCCACTAGCGTTTCCATTCCTTACCTCCCCATTAAACTTAACCCCTTCTTTCTCACTAAGTTCAGCATACATTACATAGTAGATTGCACACCTCTCCATTCTCCCAGACATTCATAAGTTTCCCTTCGAACTAGAGAAAACAAAAGCAATAAAGAAAGAGAAGAAATGAGCGCGGATTGGGGACCGGTGATCGTTTCGGTAGTTTTGTTCATACTCTTATCACCAGGGTTGTTGTTTCAACTGCCATCGAGGACAAGGGTGATAGAGTTTGGTAATATGTGCACAAGCGGGATAGCTATCCTGGTTCATGCAGTAATATACTTTTGCATAATCACTATCTTGATCGTTGCTATTGGTGTTCACATACATATTAACTGATTCAACCAAAAAGGGTACTTTGATTTTTTCCCCTTTCATTTTGTTAAAAGTCAGCACCGAAAATGGTGCATTAATGCACAATTCGGTGCAATGGTCAAAAGGAGCACACAATTGTTGAAATTGCTAAATGGTATAAGCATAATTTAGTCATTGTAATTTAGGGTATTTACAAGTTAGTCTTTAAAGCTTCAACTATAAATACCTAGCTCATTTAGCTTCAAAATCATCCCAAAGCATTCTAGCTTTCTTCCAATACTAGAGAGAATTTAGAGAGTTTCTTGAGAGTTGTTTTCTCCTTTTTTATCGAGAGAGAATTATCATTGTTTTCTCCTTGGTAGATCGAGAGAGGTTGTAATTCCTATTTTCTCATAGTGAAATTCTTCTACTGTTGCCCGTGGTTTTTACCCTATTTTATTTAGGGGTTTTCCACGTAAATTTTGTGTCTCTTTTTATCTTCATTTTTATTTTCTCAAATTATCAGTTGCGATTTTGCTCTATCCGATAGCCGTCTTCCGCAACAATTGGTATCCGAGCTAGATTAGAGTGTGTAATATCTGCTTATTGTCTTTGTGGTTGCCACCAAAAGGTGGATCCTCCAACATAAGAAAGTAAGAAGGTATTACCCATTCTTTGAAGGTTCCAGAGAACTATTCACGATAGTGAAATAGTGGGAGCTATCCGTAATAGAAGCTATGTCAACGAAATTTGAAATTAAAAATTTAATGGGAGAAATTTCTCATTGTGGAAATTGAAGATGAAGGCCATCCTGAGGAAAGACGGATGTCTAGCAGCTATTAGTGAAAGGCTGGTAGATTTTACAGATGACAACAAATGGATCGAAATGGACGGGAATGCTATGGCAAACTTTCATCTAGCATTAGCAGATGAAGTATTGTCAAGCATCGAGGAAAAGAAGACAGCTAAGGAGATATGAGATCATCTCACCAAATTGTACGAGGCCACATCGTTGCACAATAAAATTTTCCTTAAGAGGAAATTGTACACTCTCCGTATGCCAGAATCTACTTCAGTGACGGAGCACTTAAACACACTGAACACATTATTTTCTCAGCTTACATCCTTAAGATGTACAATAGGAGAACAAGAACGTGCTGAACTTCTACTTCAAAGTCTACTTGATTCGTATGATCAACTCATCATCAACTTGACAAACAGTAATGTCATCAGTCTAGTCTTCGATGACGTTGCATCTGTTGTTCTCCAAGAAGAAAATCGACGCAAGAACAAGGAAGACAGACAAGTAAATCTGCAACAAGCAGAAGCATTGACAACGATGAGAGGGAGATCAACAGAACGTGGCCAAAGCAGCAGTCACAAACATGGTAGATCGAAGTCGAGGAGCAAAAAGAATTTAAAGTACTACAACTGTGGAAAGAAGGGTCACTTGAAGAAGGATTGTTGGAGTCTAAATAAAAAATTCAATCCACAAGGCAATACCGCAAACACTTCAGATGATGGAGATGTTCTATGTTGTGAAGCGTCAACCACCGTGGAAGGTAGAAAGAGATATGCAGATATATGGCTCATTGATTCGGGAGCAACATATCACATGACCTCAAGAAGAGAATGGTTCCATCATTATGAACCAGTCTCAGGAGGATCTGTGTATAGTTGCAATGATCATGCCTTAGAAATCATTGGCGTGGGAACCATCAAATTAAAGATGTATGATGGAACAATTAAAGTTGTTCGAGATCTGCGGCACGTGAAAGGCCTGAAGAAAAATTTATTATCCTACGTATTATTGGATAATAATGCAAGCAAGATTAAAACACGGAAAGGAACCATGAAGGTGTTCCGTGGAGCGCTTGTGGTGCTGAAAGGTGAAAAGATAGCTGTAAACTTGTACATGCTGAAGGGAGAGACTTTGGTAGAAGCAGAAGCCTCTGTTGCCTCATGTAGTTCAGATTCGACAATGTTATGGCATCAGAAACTTGGACACATGTCAGAACAAGGAATGAAAGTCCTTGTGGAGAAGAAGATCCTTCCAGGCTTAACAAATGTATCACTTCCTTTGTGTGAGCATTGCATAACAAGTAAGCAGCACCGGTTGAAATTCAACACATCAAATTATAGGGGCAAAAGTGTTCTAGAATTGGTTCACTCTGATGTATGGCAAGCACCAGTAACGTCCCTAGGTGGAGCAAAATACTTTGTCTCATTTATTGATGACTACTCCAGGAGATGTTGGGTGCACCCTATTAAGAAGAAGTCATACGTGTTTTCAACTTTCAAAAACTTCAAAGCGCGGGTGGAACTTGATTCTGGAAATAAGATCAAGTGTTTCAGAACAGATAATGGAGGAGAATACACAAGCGAAGAATTTGATGACTTTTGCAAGAAAGAAGGCATCAAAAGACAGTTCACAGTGGCGAATACTCCTCAACAAAATGGAGTGGCAGAGCGGATGAACAGAACCTTGTTAGAAAGAACAAGAGCAATGTTGAGGGACGCATGCCTAGAAAAATCATTTTGGGCAGAAGCAGTCAATACCGCCTATTATTTGGTGAATCGAGGTCCATCAACTGCAATAGAGCTGAAGACACCAATGGAGATGTGGACTGGTAAACCAGCTGATTATTCAAACCTCCATGTATTTGAAAGTATTGTGTACGTGATGTACAACGCCCAAGAAATTTCAAAGCTAGATCCAAAATCCAGGAAATGTAAATTCTTGGGGTATGCTAATGGAGTAAAGGGGTATCGCTTGTGGGATCCCACTGCCCACAAAGTGATCATTAGCAGGGATGTTATCTTTGTAGAAGATAAACTACAAAGAAAAGAAGACGATGATAGCGCTGAAAAGTCAGAGACTACTCAGATACATGTGGAAAAAGAGTTTGAAGAATGAGATTCTTCTGAAGCAGAACCAGTACATGATGAACAAGAACCAGAGAGTTCTAAAGCTCCAACAACTCGTCAATCAGATCGTGTGAGAAGACGTCCCAATTGGCACTCAGATTATGTTATAGAAGGTAATATTGCATACTGCCTTTTAACAGAGGACGGTGAGCCATCAACATACCAGGAGGCAATAAACAGCTCAGATGCTTCACTGTGGATGATGGCGATGCAAGAAGAAATCGAAGCCCTTCATAAAAATAATACATGGGACCTTGTGCCACTACCACAAGGAAGGAAGCCAATTGGTAACAAATGGGTTTTCAAAATCAAGCGAAATGGTGACGATCAAGTGGAGATGTATCGTGCAAGACTGGTGGTCAAAGGATATGCTCAGAAAGAAGGTATTGATTTCAATGAAATTTTTTCTCCTGTGGTTCGACTAACAATAGTTCGAGTAGTCTTGGCAATGTGTGCTACATTGAATTTACATTTGGAACAGCTAGATGTTAAAACAACTTTTCTTCATGGAAATCTTGAAGAAGAGATTTATATGCTCCAGCCTGAAGGTTTTGAAGAAAAAGAAAAGAAGAACTTGGTTTGCAGGTTGAACAAATCTCTATACGGTCTAAAGCAGGCGTCGAGGTGTTGGTATAAGAGATTTGATTCATTCATTATGTGCCTTGGATACAACAGACTTAATGCAGACCCTTGTGCTTATTTCAAGAGGTCTGGTGATAACGATTTTGTTATATTGATGTTGTATGTGGATGACATGTTGGTTGCAGGACCCAACAAATATCATATTGAAGAATTGAAGGCACAACTGGCTAGGGAATTTGAAATGAAGGACTTGGGATCAGCAAACAAGATTATAGGGATGCAAATTCACCGAGACAGAAGTAATAGGAATATTTGGCTTTCACAAAAGAATTACTTAAAGAAAATCTTGTCACGATTTAGCATGCAAGATTGTAAGCCAATTTTTAACCCTCTTCCTATTAACTTCAAATTATCCTCCAGTATGAGTCCTAGCAGTGAAGAAGAGAGGATGGAGATGTCTCGAGTACCGTATGCATCAGCAGTGGGAAGTTTAATGTTCGCTATGATATGCACAAGACCAGACATTGCACAAGCAGTGGGACTGGTTAGTCGATACATGGCGAATCCAGGCAAAGAGCATTGGAATATTGTAAAGAGGATCCTAAGATACATCAAAGGGACCTCAAATGTTGCATTATGTTACGGAGGATCAAACTTACTTATAAATGGGTATGTCGATTCTGACTATGCAGGGGATTTGGATAAAAGTAAATCTACTACAGGATATGTGTTCAAAGTTGCTGGTGGAGCTGTAAGCTGGGTTTCAAAATTGCAGTCAGTTGTGGCTACATCTACAACAAAGGCAAAATATGTAGCAGCTACACAAGCCAGTAAAGAAGCAATTTGGTTGAAGATGCTATTGGAGGAGCTTGGGCACAATCAAGAGTTTGTCTCTCTGTTTTGTGACAGTCAAAGCGCCTTGCATCTAGCAAGGAATCCATCATTTCATTCAAGGACAAAACACATACGAGTTCAATACCATTTCATTCGTGAAAAGGTGGAAGAAGGGACGGTAGATATGTAGAAGATCCATACCAAAGACAATATAACAGATTTCATGACGAAGGCAATCAATGCTGATAAATTTACTTGGTGTCGATCCTCTTGTGGCCTGTCAGAAATGTAAGTAACATGATGGTATAAGGTAGAAAGAATGGTGTGAAGATATGATTGTTCCAATCAAATCTTCAAGTGGGAGATTGTTAAAAGTCAGCACCGAAAACAGTGCATTAATGCACAATTCGGTGCAATAGTCAAAAGGATCACACAATTGTTAAAATTGTTAAATGGTATAAGCATAATTTAGTCATTGTAATTTAGGGTATTTACAAGTTAGTCCTTAAAGCTTCAACTATAAATACCCTAGCTCATTTAGCTTCAAAATCATCCCAAAGCATTCTAGCTTTCTTCCAATACTAGAGAGAATTTAGAGAGTTTCTTGAGAGTTGTTTTCTCCTTTTTTATCGAAAGAGAATTATCATTGTTTTCTCATTGATAGATCGAGAGAGGTTGTAATTCCTATTTTCTCATAGTGAAATTCTTCTACCGTTGCCCGTGGTTTTTACCCTATTTTATTTAGGGGTTTTCCACGTAAATTTTGTGTTTCTTTTTATCTTCATTTTTATTTTCTCAAATTATCAGTTACGATTTTACTCTATCCGATAGCCGTCTTCCGCAACACGTTTTAATATGCTCTCATTTGTTTTTTACTTGGATGAAGTTCATGTTCTAGTTTCTTTCATCTTGGCAAGTGAAATCTTGACCAGATTTAGTAATGAATGCTATTTCATGACAAGGTGGTTCAATTTGTACTATGAAATTTACTCAGGCTACAGATCATTGATAATTTCAACTTTGACTAAATCCAGTATTTTCGTTTTACTTTTCAGTTCTTAGCAAAACTAAAGCTCAATTATCTATGAATTATCATACTATCAAAGCAAAATAAAACAATGCAAGGGCCACTAGATTCGTCTTTGACAGTGGTGTATAGTTTACTGATAACTTCACAAACAACAGAAAATGACTGAATTCCAGCACCCAAAATACAAAGCTTAACATAATATAGCACAACGAAGATGATGCAACAACGACATACAGATCGCCGGCGTTCAATTTATTCAGATGGTGAAGGTTAAGATATTGGGCAAATATAAATAAATTCCAATACAAAAAGCCCTTCTGTTTAAAGAGGGGAAAAAGTTCTTTTGTGGGTGTTCTTAATAGTAAAAAAGTAAACTTTGGCCATTAAAGATATGCTTGCCACAAACTTAATTGGGTCCAAAACTGAAAGAAGCTAATACACAGATTGATAAATAAAATAAAACCCAACACAGATCTTGAATCGCACCGGCATCCGGCGGGGGGGGGGAGTCAGCCAGTGTAGATATGGAGGTGGAGGGCCATGATCAAAACAGCATAGATGGCGAAGAAAAGAAGAGTGTGGATAGCAATGGCCTTTCCATTAGTCTTCATGCTCCCAAACTCCAGCTGCTTGTTGTTCCCTGGGAATGAAAACAAAAGCCCTGGTGATAGCAACACAAATAGCACCACCCCGATTACTACAGATGCCCAATCTGCCATTACAAGAGACTTCCTTCACATAAAATCTAAACGCAACTAGGCCTGAAGAGAGGTTGTGGAATTATGGAGAGAGAAGTGAAGAAGATGAGTTGCTTTAAATGTTGAAAGTGACGGCAGGGGGGTAAGCACAACAAAGACTTGGGTTTTGGGTCGGTGCTGACCATGTCATGTGAATCTAATTGTAGCCATTAGATTAAGTTTTGTCAATTCTTTTATTAATGGAAAATGGGATTGGGATTAGGATTATCATGTCTTTAATTTACTAAAATATATCCTAATAAAAAATTAATTTCTATTACTTAAGGAGAAAATGTTCATTGTGAGAAGTGTGTTCCTTATGTGGCATTCGAGTCAATAAAGGCACTTCCTACACTGAACCCATTTGCCCTCCGTGGAAAAACAATTTCTACACAAGGTGCCGCCTTAAGATTTTAATTCTCGACCTCTCCCTTCGGCCTTCCCAGCCTTTTCTCATCCCTTCCCCTCTTCCTTCCCCTCTTCCCCTCTTCCCCTCGTCCTTCCCTTTACATCACACCAAAATCATTCAAAGGAATACACTCCTTTAAAAAATTCTATTCACTTCTTATTTTCTACAAACGTTTGAGGTATGATTCAGAATTGAGGTCATTTTCTATAATTTTTTTAGTTGACGTTAGTTAATAATTATCATTTTTTAATTTTTTACAGTAAAAAAAATAGATGATATATTATGATTGGGTGAAAATTATATTGTGACTCATCAATAAATATGATAAAAAAAATTTTGTTTAATAACAATTTTGTTATTATATTGTGACTCAACATTCCAGATTATGGCCTCATAGCCAGTCTCGACGCTTATCTTTGATTTATTGGCTAATCCCATCTCTACTTTCTTTCTTTTATACATATAAAAGGTCGTAATTTTATCAACCCTGGGACTTTAATAAATAGTTTATTGGGCCTCTTGGATTGACATCAACACAAATTTATGCCCTCCCTTGTCTAACAAAAGCTAGAGAATTAAATAACATCATAGAGGAAAATAGTTTATAAATTTCCTTAGCTTTATGTGATTCTCATTCCCTCTACAATCGACTTAAAGTCACCGTGAAAGAGGAGAAGTACCCAAACCCTTTTTCATCTTATTTGATTCTTCAATCACCTCTGGAAGTTTGAGGAGCTTTCATTCATATAGAAATGAATGATTGGGGTGCTCCACTCGTAGCAGCAGCGTTGTTTGCGTTTCTTTCACCGGGTTTACTGCTGCAAATCCCAGGGAAGCATCACCCCATTGATTTCATGAACATGAAGACAAGTGCCACCGCCATTTTCGTGCACGCCGTACTCTATGCTTTGTTCCTCATCTTGTTTCTCTTTGTTCTTCATGTCCGCCTCTCTGAAACAACCCAACAGGCTTTCTCGGGATGTAATTTTCATGTTGTTTGTAAGTTGTAGTATGATGGCATGAAAAATCTTGAGAATTTGTAACTTTCAAGATTTTTCTTTATTAGTTGGTTATCTTTCCAGATTTTCTGTTAACAATATTCTTTAAACAGTAGCAGTAAGCTTAATCGTCTCACAACTTCCGGTAAATTGCATGTTAAGTGACAACCAGCTATGTAATATATTGCTCTCAAGTCATTCTTAGATTTGTGTTTCCAGATTGTGGTATTCGACAAACAGTTGATGAAATCTTCCAGGAATAGACATGCAAATAGCCTAATTAACATTGAGAAATGTTTTACTCAATCTTGAAGAATATTGCTAATTATTACAACGAAATGTCCTGTTTTGAGCCTAATAAGCAAGTGAACAATGAAAGAAAGCTACATAAACCTACTCAGGGCCTGTCTTGACATTTTAAGGGTCCTAGGTAAAATAAGAGATAAGGACCCTTAAAAAAATAACTTAAAATTCAAGAATAAATTCTGGTAAACGCCAAACAAATTTTTTCATTAAAAATTATATGAGTAGATTCTATTAAATTAACCAACATTATTTTACCAAATATATAAAGAGACATCACAATTTTTCACTCAATTTACTCATATTATGTCTTCAATTATCTCTTAGAATCGTTTCTCTCAATCGAAAATTGAAGCCTCTCACTTACAAAACAACATACACAAATTCTCATAAGAAACGGTTTCTTCTAACATTTTGAGATGCAAAATCATTGATAATAACATCAACATCAATGTTTCTTATCATCTCCTTCTCAATAGCTAATGTTGCTAAACCATTCAACATTTCTTGTGACATTGATGACCTCAAGTACATTTTTATTAATTTAAGCTTTGAGAAACTTCTTTCGGCTGAAGCTACGGTCACAGACACAGTTAATAAAATCCTATAAGCAATTGAAGCATTCGTAGAACAATCTACAGATTTGACAAACTTAAGAATTTCAGTGGCGGATAACAATTCTGTTGGCAAAGTCATTTGTAAGACTTTCAATTCAGAGAAAAGATCATCTAAGTCAACATCCGATGAATTGCCATGAGAAAAGGTAGAATGAAAATGAGCACAACATTCTTTCAACTCATTATCATCTAATGACTTTAACTTATTTGAATCATATAAAAATCCAAAAATACTTTCAAATGTCTTCAATTGCTTAAATCTATTCTTCAAAGAAGTAATTGCCATATCTACCACAACCAAAAAATAATTGACTCTAAATGACTCTTCAGGTGATTCAACTTCGTTATCCTCATTATTCTATCTAAAAAAATTCTTCCTAATCACATGACGTTTTGTGGGAAAGATAGGCTCCACATCCATTTCAAGTGCAAGACTTTTAGCTACATTCATACTACTTGTAAAGCCTTCATCTCTATATTTTTCAAAGTAGAACATCGCACCTTCTAATTGCCTTATGGTAGTATCAATGCACATAGACTTAGATTGTAATTTCTTGCTTACCATATTAACATCAAATAAAATGTCATACCAAATCACAACACCAAGCAAAAACTCAAAACTTGAGAGTGCATTCACTAAACTTTCAGCTTCACTTTTTGACTTCGCATCATTTTCACAAGATTCATATAATTCACACAAAGCCAATCTTATTTGGGGACATTGAAATCTAATAGCTTTGACACTTTTAATTCAACTCTCCCATCGAGTATTTGATAAATATTTCATAGTTAATCTAGGAATATTATCAAGTAAAATTTTCCATCTCTTTGTAGAACCCGAAAACAATGCATATATGCGTTGAACAACTCCAAAAAAAAAGAAATAGCTTTAACACAAGAATGTACCATATCACCAAGAGTGAGATTTAGACTATGACAAGCACAAGGCATGTATAATGCTTTTGGATTAATTTCAAGAAATCGTTTTTGAACACCTTGGTGCCTTCCTTTCATATTAGAACCGTTATCATAACCTTTTCCCCTCACATCATCAACATTAAGATCAAGAGACTTCAAAACATTTTGTAGTTCATTAAAGAGTCCTAATCCAGATGTATCATCCACTTTTAGAAACTCTAAAAAGAACTCCTCAATTTTAACTTTGTTATTTAATATATTAACACATTGAACTATGAGGGTCATTTGTTCTTGATGGCTCACATCAGACGTACAATCAAGAATTATGGAAAAGTATTTAGCCTCTTTAATGATCTTAATGATAGAATTTCTCACACTTAGAGACAAAATGGAAATGAACTCATTTTGAATTTTATGTCCAAGATAATGATAATGAATTTCACGATCCTGAATGCGTCTAACATGATCTTGCATAATCACATCAAACTCTGCAATCATTTCAATCAATCCCAGAAAGTTACCATTGTTATCTTGATATAGTTTTTCATTGGATCCTCGAAATGCAAGATTATGTTTAGCAAGACATTTCACAACTGAGAATATTCTTTGTAACACTTGTCTCCAACGCTCTTTCTCTTTCATAATCTCTTCTTGCAAATTTTTATCGATTGCTTGCTTTTTATCCAATCTTACTCTCAATTCATTCCAAGTATTCATATTAGTCATATGTTCAACACTATTTTCATGTTGTTTAAGCCTTTGGCTAATATGTTTCCAATCACTTAAGCCATCATTTGCTAACAAACTTACATTACTAATCGATTTAAACAACTTGCAACAAAAACAATATATTTTGTCAACATTTTTGGAATAAACTAACCATTTTCTATCACTAGTCTCACCATTGCTCAACTTTCTAGAATAACATGCATATGAGAAATGTCTAAAATATTTATCAACAGGAAATTCAATATTCATTTCTCTTATGGGCCCTTTTTCAACTAATATATCTCTCGCATTACTGTCAAGATTCTCCCAATTTATAGGATCATATATATTCAAATGAGGAAGTGTTTCTTCACCAATGCCTAAATTTTCAACATTTTCATCAATTGACACGTCATTAAAGTCAATTGGATCATTCACTTCATCATTCACATTTTCAGAATTTCCAGGATTTTCAGTATGTAAATTTTCAGTTGATTGATTCAAAGTTTCATGAGAATCAGCCTTTTTAAACACAAATTTATCAAGAGCACCTTTTTGTGACTTCTTTAACTCCTCATCTCGCTTCCTTTTTTTTCCTTTTTTCACTTACAGACAAATGTTTTTTAGGCAACATCTTATCAAAGAGTCAAAAACAAACCAATTCTAATAAATAAGTATAAGAAAAGAACAATTGCACCTGGATTCTTCAATTAAAATTGTAATCCATTGGAGTAAGATAAAATCTCAAATTCCCAATTTGATAATTGACGCTGTTGACATAAATATTAATAGTTATAACATGAACATCAAAATAAAAATATCAAAAAACATCAAGCAAACAGAGCCTTAGCAAATTGTATCAATCATCATTTTAAAACATTTAAGTTATAACAAAATTTTACTACACAAGACAAATCATAATTTAAAACCAGAAATATATGTCAAAACTTTACTACACACAAAACAAATCATAATTTATTTCTTTTTCCTCTCCATTCAAGAGAAATTAGAGAATACCAAACATTTTCTTTAATTTCTTGAAGCAACGCACAAACCAGAGAATCAATACAAGTTTTTATCCATTCGTTTTATATTTTGAATACAACAAGAATAAAAACAATAATTTATAAAGCAAAATAGAGTCAAGGAGAAAGGGGAAAGCATTACTTGTGAGTCATCGGAGTTTCCCAATTCCCATCGAAGTCAGGTTCGTCGGAGCAAATAGAAACCAAAGTTGTGGTCTCGGTTTAAGGGCGTTTTAGCCTTATTTATGCGATTTTCAGTTTTGATTTGGATTAAGGTAAATAGATCGTAGTGTTTAGGATGTTTTAGGCTGTGAGTTGCATAGAGAAATAGGAAGAGTGAAACGGCTCAGAGTTTTTTTTTAAATAAGGTTATAAAATGGGTAAAACCAATAAGAGTAACATTTATAAATTATAATTAAGTTGTAAGGAAAAATGGTATGTACAGTGGTTTGGTCCCGATTTCCGAGAATAATGACAATAACCATTTCAAATTGAAATGGGATTTTGGCGTGATTATTAAGCAAACAGGAACAACATGTGTAGGCTTTATGGGATTCATCAAAACGGATGAAAAATCAAACCACAATTTGATTTTTATATATATACACTATGGACCGTTTTACATATCTTTTACTTTTTTAATAGTTAAATTATTATTACTTTTAAAAATAGGCCCCTATCCCATCAAAACATAACTAACAAATAAGAGATGAATGAAAAGTCAAACCACAAATTTATTTTTATATATATACACTATGAAACGTTTTACATATCTTCTATTTTCTAATAGTTAAATTATTATTATTTTAAAAAATAGGCCTCCTTAAAATTTGGGCTCTAGGCTGTATTTCTCTATGCCTGGGTTCAGAGTCGGCCCTGGATAGTAATAAATTAGCTGATTAATATATTTAGAAATAAAAAAACTAATTTTAATTCTTAAACTTAACTTTTTTAAAATTTTTATTATTAAATTATTTTGTTCACGTATTAATCTTTGAACTTTAATTTTATATTGTTATGATACTTTAAAATTTAACATATATAACACAATATTAAAGTCGCACGTCATTAAGTAATAAAATAAATAAATTCATAAACTAATATGGAAAAAATGAAAAATCAAATTTAAAGAACAAAATGTTACTTTTATCCCCCCCCCCCCAAAACAAAGTTATATCATCTTGCCCCAATGAGCCACTTGCTTAATCATAAAAATATTCAAATATAAGGGAGTATTAATTAATAAAAAAAAGGGTGATATATATATATATATATATATATATATATATATATATATAGTCAAAAGTACACAAATGGTCCCCCAACTTTAGGTGTTATTTTGTTGAGTCTTCCGACTATTAAAAGTTATAAAATGGTCATCTAACTATAGGATGTTACTTTGTTGAGTCTCCTGACTATTAAAAGTTACAAAATGATCACCTAGCTATTCATTATGTTCCAAATTCATCATTTTTTGTTAAATTATTGATGATAATCTAAGTTTGATGATAATTTGTTGTCTGAGATATGATAAAATCTTATTCTAGAATCTCAAACGATTATCATATCTAAGACAACATATTAACATCCAACTCAGGTTGTCATCAATTTTTAATGAAAAATGAAATCTTTGGAACATAATAAATAGTCAGGTGACTATTTTGTAACTTTTAATTGTCGAGGGACTCAAAAAAAGCAACATCCTATAATCAAAGGACCATTTTATAACATTTAATAGCCGTGAGATTCAACAAAGAGGTATCCTATAGTTGGGGGACCATTTGTGTACTTTACGCATATATATTTTTAAAAACTTTTATATATATGTTCAACTTTAAAGGATTATACATGCTAAAGAAATATTTAAAGATGCTTAAAAAACAAATAATTCAAAAAAAATAAAAATTTAAATATATATTTATCTTAATTCCCATTATTAAATAAAAATTGAACCTTAAAACATTATTTGATTAGGTGGAAAAGAGGAACGATGGAAAGAAAGAGTGTAAACGTAAAAGAAAATAAATTTTGAGTATTTTTTGGTAAGAAAGAAAATTGAGAGAAAAGAAAATGAGAAGTACTGAAGCATGGTTATTTTTTATTCTCGTGAGTAAAATAAAATTATTTTAACCTGAAAAGAAAAAAGAGAAAATATAAGAGATATGTAAACTAAATTAAACATATTCATTTTAAAGCTTGATTTTCTTTTATCTCATTTTTTTCAATTCTATTACAATAAATAAAAATAAAATATTATTCAAATTTTCCATCATTCCCACCAAGCACACCAATAAAAGAAAAAAAAATTATATTTTCATACGTCCATTTTTCTATCTCTTGAATTTTTAATCATTCTAATTTTAGTTTACCCTAACCAAAAAAAAGCTTGAAAGAATTTTATATCAACTAAGCATGCAGTAAGTCATAAGTATATCCACAAAAAGAGAAGAACAAAAATCACATGACAAGCAAAACTATCTATGTAATGGTTTTGGTCCATAAACAGAGAGAAAAAAACAGACTAAATTGACATATTGCATACCAAATATTCCACAAATTTGGAAACTGTCTTTACGAGTTAGCTAGAATAGACGGATGCTTAACCGAGATACAAGTGAATACCAATAGCTAAGAGCAAGATGCAAATGAGTGCAAAGTAAATTATTGCATGCACCAAAATGGATAGTCCACTGGTTTGAAAGTTGCCGGACTCAATGAACCGTGATCTTCCCGGAACCTGTACCAGCAGCCCCGGCGTTAGCAGTATGAACAGAACCACCGCCACGAAAATCGGCCCCAGTCGGACATCTTTACTCACCCTCTCGGCGATTCTGGAAAACCTTGTTGCGTTGATCACCTGGAATTGGTGGCATGATCTGATCTATGATGAATATATAAGGAGTTGCGATGGAAATGGAAAAGAAAAAAGATGGTTTATGATGGAATGGTGTGTTGGTTTAGGAAGAAGGGACAAAGGGTTTATGACTCGGAAAGTGAAGATTAGCGAATCAAGCCATTAGGGTTCACATTTTTCTTGGTTTTTATCGCGATCACTTTGTTTAAAAGGAAACTTCGCTGTAACACTCAATTGCTGTAGCACAAACTTGTGCATTCAATGGTAAATTTTTGTGTTTCGGTTTATATCTTTATCTTGGTTTCTCTCGATTGTGTTTCCCAAAATTTAACTTTGGTGTACAGATCATTCCATCCGATCTACAAGTTCATACAAGTACTTGCTTGATGCTACATAATACGTCTTATAAAGGGACAAATACTACTTTGAAAGAACTTAACACCGACTGCTTTCTTATATGAATTAATTTGATTTATAATGCATGTGGTTCAGTTTCAATTTAATCAAGGGTTCTAATTAGTAATTAGTTTATATTATTGTATTATTATATAAACTAAAAGGATTTTATAGTAATTAAATTTATTTAAAAAATATTTATTTATGTTAAATAGTTTTATTAAATTAATAAAAAATTGATGATTAAGTAATAATCTTTTTATAAATATATATATAATAATTCTATAAAGTATTGAGTTAATGAGAGGAACTGCATTTATTTAGGGGTTGAGTTTAATGTTTGTTCATGGGGCTATTTTTGTTAAAAGTCAAATAAAATTAGGCATCGAATGGTGCATAGTCAAAGTAAAAAATTAGGCACCTAATTTTTATTGAAATTGGGTAATGGTAAAATCTCAATTTTAGTCATTGTACTTTAGGGTATTTACAAGATTAGTTCTTAAGCTTCAATTATAAATACCCTAACCTATTTAGCTTCAAAACCATCTCAAATCATTCTAGCTTTCTCCCTATACTAAAGAATTTAGAGAGTTTTCTTGAGAGTTGTTTTCTCCTTTTTATCAAGAGAGAATTGTCATTGTTTTCTCCTTGTTAGATCGAGAGAAGTTGTAATTCCTATTTTCTCATAGTGAAATTCTTCTACCGTTGCTCGTGATTTTCACCCTATATTATTTAGGGGTTTTTCACGTAAAATTTATGTCTTCTTTATCTTCATTTTTATTTTCTCAAATTATCAGTTGCGATTTTGCTCTATCCGATAACCGTATTCCGCAACAATTGGCATCAGAGCCAGATTAGAGTGTGTAATATCTACTTATTTCCTTTGTGGTTGCCACCAAAAGGTGAATCCTCTAACATTAGAAAGTAAGAAGGTATTACCCATTCTTTGAAGGTTCCAGAGAACTATTCACGATAGTCAAATAGTGGGAGCTATCCGTAATAGAAGTTATGGCAATGAAATTTGATATTGAAAAATTCAATGGGATAAATTTCTCATTATGGAAATTTGTGGAAATTGAAGATGAAGGCCATCCTGAGGAAAGATGGTTGTTTAACAGCTTTCAGTGAAAGGCCGGTGGATTTCACAGATGACAACAAATTGATCGAAATGGACGGGAATGTTATGGAAAACTTTCATCTAGCATTAGCAGATGAAGTATTGTCAAGCATCGAGGAGAAGAAAACAACTAAGGATATATGAGATCATCTCACCAAATTGTACGAGACCACATTATTGCACAATAAAATTTTCCTTAAGAGGAAATTGTACACTCTCCGGATGCCAAAATCTACTTCAATGACGGAGCACTTAAACACACTGAACACGTTATTTTCTCAGCTTACATCCTTAAGATGTAGAATAGGAGAACAAGAACGTGTTGAACTTCTACTTTAAAGTCTATCTGATTCGTATGATCAACTCATCATTAACTTGACAAACAGTAATGTCACCAGTCTAGTCTTCGATGACGTTGCAGCTGCTGTTCTACAAGAAGAAAATCGACGCAAGAACAAGGAAGACAGACAAGTAAATCTGCAACAAGCAGAAGCGTTGACAATGATGAGAGGGAGATCAACATAACGTGACCAAAGCAACAGTCACAAACATGGTAGATCAAAGTCGAGGAGCAAGAAGAATTTAAAGTGCCATAACTTTGGAACGAAGGGTCACTTGAAGAAGGATTGTTGGAGTCTAAATAAAAACTCCAATCCACAAGGCAATACTGCAAACACTTTAGATGATGGAGATGTTCTATGCTGTGAAGCATCAACCACTGTGGAAGGTAGAAAAATATTTGTAGATATATGGCTCATTGATTCGGGAGCAACATATCACATGACCTCAAGAAGAGAATGGTTTCATCATTATGAATCTGTCTCAGGAGGATCTGTGTATAGTTACAATGATCATGCCTTAGAGATCGTTGGCGTAGGAACCATCAAATTGAAGATGTATGATGGAACAATTAAAGTTGTTCGAGATGTACAGCACGTGAAAGGCCTGAAGAAAAATTTATTATCCTATGGACTGTTGGATAATAATGCAAGCAAGATTGAAACACAAAAAGGAATCATAAAGGTGTTCCGTGGAGCACTTGTGGTGATGAAAGGAGAAAATATAGCAGCAAACTTGTACATGCTGAAGGGAGAGACTTTGCTAGAAGCAAAAACCTCTATTGCCTCATGTAGATCAGATTCTGCAATGCTATGGCATCAGAAACTTGGACACATGTCAGAACAAGGAATGAAAGTCCTTGTGGAGCAAAAGCTACTTCCAGGCTTAACAAATGTATCACTTACTTTGTGTGAGCATTGCATAACAAGTAAACAGCACCAGTTGAAATTCAACACGTCAAATTCTAGAGGAAAAAGTGTTCTAGAATTGGTTCATTATGACGTATGGAAAGAACCAGTTACATCCCTAGGTGGAGCAAAATACTTTGTCTCATTTATTGATAATTACTCTAGGAGATGTTGGGTGTACCCTATTAAGAAAAAGTCAGATGTGTTTTAAACTTTCAAAAACTTCAAAGCGCGGGTGGAACTTGATTTTGGAAATAAGATCAAGTGTTTTAGAACAGATAATGGAGGATAATACACAAATGAAGAATTTGATGACTTTTGCAGGAAAGAAGGCATCAAAAGATAGTTCACAGTGGCGAATACTCCTCAACAAAATGGAGTAGTAGAGTGGATGAACAGAACCTTGTTAAAAAGAACAAGAGCAATGTTGAGAGCTGAAGACCTAGAAAAATCATTTTGGGCAGAAGCAGTCAATATTACCTGTTATTTGGTGAATCGAGCTCCATTAACTGCAATAGAGCTGAAGACACCAATGGAGATGTGGACTGGTAAACCAGCTGATTATTCAAACCTCCATGTATTTGGAAGTATTGTGTACGTGATGTACAACTCCCAAGAAATCTCAGAGATAGATCCAAAATCCAGGAAATGCAAATTCTTGGGATATACTAATGGAGTAAAGGGGTATCTCTTGTGGGATCCCACTGCCCGCAAAGTGATAATTAGTAGGGATGTTATCTTTGTAGAAGATAAACTACAAAAAAAAGAAGACGATGATAGCGCTGAAAAGTCAGAGACTACACAGATACATGTGGACAATGAGGATTTGGCTAGGGAATTTGAAATGAATGACTTGGGATCAGCAAACAAGATTCTAGGGATGCAAATTCACTAAGATAGAAGTAATAGGAAGATTTGGCTTTCACAAAAGAATTACTTGAAGAAGATCTTGTCACGATTCAACATGCAACATTGTAAGCCAATTTCTACCCCTATTCCTATTAACTTCAAATTATCCTCCAGTATGAGTCCTAGCAGTGAAGAAGAGATGATAGAGATGTCTCGAGTACCGTATGCATCAGCAGTGGAAAGTTTAATGTTCGCTATGATATGCACAAGACCAGACATTGCACAAGCAGTGGGAGTGGTTAGTCGATACATGGCGCATCCAGGCAAAGAGCATTGGAATACAGTAAAGAGGGTTTTAAGATACATCAAAATGACCTCAAATGTTACATTATGTTACAGAGGATCAAATTTACTTATCAATGGGTATGTTGATTTGACTATGCAAGGGATTTGGATAAAAGCAAATCTACTACAGGATATGTGTTCAAAGTTGTTGGTGGAGCTGTAAGCTAGGTTTCAAAATTATAGTCAGGTGTGGCTACATCCACAACAGAAGCAGAATATGTAGCAGCTACACAAGCCAGTAAAGAAGCAAGTTGGTTGAAGATGCTATTGGAGGAGCTTGGGCACAATCAAGAGTATGTCTCTCTGTTATGTGACAGTCAAAGCGCCTTGCATCTAGCAAGGAATCCAGCATTTCATTCAAGAACAAAACACATACGAGTTCAGTACCACTTCATTCGTGAAAAGGTGGAAGAAGGGATGGTAGATATGCAGAAGATCCATACCAAAGACAATATAGTAGATTTCATAACGAATGCGATCAATGTTGATAAATTTACCTGGTATCGATCCTCTTGTGGCCTGTCAGAAACGTAAGCAACATGAAAGTACGAGGTAGAAAGAATGGTGTGAAGATATGATTATTCCAATCAAATCTTCAAGTGGGAGATTGTTAAAAGTCAAATAAAATTAGGCACCAAATTAGGCACCGAATGATGCATAGTCAAAGTAAAAAATTAGGCACCTAATTTTTGTTGAAATTGGGTAATGGTAAAATCTCAATTTTAGTCATTGTACTTTAGTTTATTTACAAGATTAGTCCTTAAGCTTCAACTATAAATACCAGAACCCATTTAGCTTCAAAACCATCCTAAATCATTATAGCTTTCTCCCAATACTAGAGAATTTAGAGAGTTTTCTTGAGAGTTGTTTTCTCCTTTTTATCAAGAGAGAATTGTCATTGTTTTCTCCTTGTTAGATCGAGAGAAGTTGTAATTCCTATTTTCTCATAGTGAAATTTTCTACCGTTACTCATGGTTTTTACCCTATATTATTTAGGGGTTTTCAACATAAAATTTATGTCTTCTTTATCTTCATTTTTATTTCCTCAAATTATCAGTTGCGATTTTGCTCTATCCGATAGCCGTATTTCGCAACAAATGGTTGTCCCTTGTTCCCATATGTAATGGGGTAAGGGGGAGGTAAGATAGTAGGCTGCCCTCAACACTAGGTTGAGAGCAGCTTCCATATTCCGCAACAATTTTAACTTAATTGGATTAACTTTTTTTGGTACTAATTAAAAACATAGATAATAACTTGATAGAGAAGCGAAAGCGGATGAATAGATGTTGCTCTCGTTGAGGAATCAAACCTAGAAAACTCTAGACTTAATGAAGAAAGAGGAAGAATTTGAATGGAATAAGAAGATAATGGAGTTGTGGAAGATGGATATAGATGAATAATTGTCACATCGAACCCTCCTAGTCGCAATGAAAAAGTAAACTCGATAAATGAGTCTAACCAGCCCTTCTATTCACAATGAAGAGGCAAATCGGAGTGCAAAGATCTCTCTCTCAAATATCTTGAAAAAAAATCAAAGAAAAGAAGTTTCAAAGGCACAAGTAATCAACATGTTGCAAAGAAAACTTAGCCAAAATTAAGGTTTAGGTTGCTTCTCTTCCACTCTTATTTTTTAAGGCTTGGTCACGTGAATCAATTGGAAGCGTTAGTCTATCTTCTTTTTATATGAGCCTTGTGATGTATATATCATAACTAGTTAAGTTTAGTTAATATTATTGTCCACACATTATATAAGAAAACGTGAGATTAAACATATTTAATTATTTAAATAATTGTTTTAATATCAATATCAGAGATGATTTTAATTGATATTAGATTCTAAATTTTATTTCTAACAATTTTTTATTTTTTTCTTATCAAATAAAGAGTTGAAGACCTTCAGCATACAAATTTCATTGTAGGTCCACAATTCTGTAAATTTGCCATTTTATTTGGATTGGCTACTTGTACGTGGTCTTATACTTCATACATAATAAAGGAGAATGAAATAAAGGTCATTTAAGCCTATAAAGGAATTCGGAGAAAAGCAATAATTGAGAGTCATCCGAAGAAAAACAAAAGAAGATTAGAATGAGTGGAGAGCAAATAAGCAAAACTCTAACGCCAACAACCTCTTCATTCTTCATATATCAAGAAGTAGAGCATTTTCAATTCCAACTTACAAGATTCTATTCATTTTAATTCCAACATGTCCCCATTTTGTCTCTCAAAAAAATATCTTATAGGATTGAGGGTGTTACCCGACAAAATCATAAACATTAGAAAACTAGCCAAGGTGAATCTTCACCCGAACAACTAACAAGGAGATGCAAATGAATGCAAAGTAGATAATCGAATGCACCAGAATGGAGGCTCCACTGGTTTGAT